TCAACTGAGAGCAAGTTGGCAAAGATGCCATATGTGTAGAGTCTGATGTCAGAGGAGTGCTGGTCATTTACAAATGGAGCAACTGTTTTGCATAAGTTCTCCATGAAGATGGAATCCCAGCCATTTGTGCCTTTTGTTTTCTGTGTTATCACATACAGTGTTTGCAGAACAGCTACCCAAATATCAGGTGTCCTTTCTAAGCAAAGCTGTTCCAGGAGTTGGGGGATTATAGCCAGTGACTGCTCATTTGGGATGTCTTCCATTGTACATAAAACTGCATGTAAACTAATGATGGCTGTTGTTACATGTGCCACAGGGATGTTTGGAAAGCGACTGATTGCACCTCCGATGTAGGTATTCACATTTTCGGTGTCCGTCAGCCATTTAATAGTTCCCTCTCTGTATTTTTCTCCATGTTCCCCAGAATCAGTAAACAGCATTTCAATCATGGTCAAATGGGTCCGAGGATCTTCCAGTAGCATGTGTGGCTTGAAGGTTGTGAACACGTTGTCAGGTTGTTCTTCTTTCACTGCAATTTCCACATCCAGAAAATGTCTGATTTTGGCGCACAGTTTCTGTCCTTTGGATGCCAAGTTATGAACCATCTCAGTTATTTTTTTATTGCAGATCAAAGCTTCAGGACGGTCTACGGGTGTCAATGTTACCGAGGCACCAGCAGAGATGAGCGCTTTCATGACATCGTCCCGGTTAGCCATAGCAGCAGTTTGCAGTGGAGTGAATATCTGTCGTTCAATGGGAATCCATCCATTTGGATCAGCTTTTGCTTCCAGCAGTTTTGTCACAAAGAAAACTGGTGCCTTGGAAAATAAGACATAATGCAAAGGAGTACGGTAACCATCAGAAGGACTATTTGGGTCCGCATCCTGACCCAAAAGGTAAGTAAAAATCTCCATGTTGTGATTTACGATAGCAGCAATCAGTGGGGTTATAGGACCCCACTGAATGCTGGGGTAAAGTTCATTCTTTTTTTCATCCTTGAGTAATTTCTGGAGCTTCTCAAGATTATTGTCAGTTATACTCTGCATTATAGGATGTGTTTCTGTCAGACGGGGCATGGTCAGTTGTAACTGTGCGATGTTCTTTACCTTGCTTCAGATTACCTGTGAGGAGAAAAAGTTATGATACATTGTTATAGAATCAGTTGATATTTTCAACTTTGGACAGGCATCAAATATCTATTATTTGAACTAAAGCTTCATGGTTCATTGTGTTCATTTTCTTTTCAATGGTTATTTTCCATGTACTTAGAAATCTAGATAAAATTCTAGTTTGTCACCAATTTCAGTAGATTCAAATCAGTGAGCACCTAAATCAGAAACCATTTTTGTCACAGCATAGAGTCAGGGCTCTGCGTATAGTCTACTGCACAACCACAAGGCTACATAATTAAGAAAAATAGCTTGCAGACTCTTATTTCTATACTGTATTTGCCAAGAAACTTTGCAACAGGTTGAGAATTTCATTTGGACAAAATACAGTCGAGTGAAAACTGACTTGAAATTACAGAATTGCTGGCACTCATATTCTTTAACATGCATGCAAACAGGTGACCTAACATATCCCTAAACCTCAACCAGTCGGTTATTGCTCAACTAGAAACTCTGCAGTCACAGAGGGGATAAAATGGGAATGAAAATGGAAACATTTTTGATCGACACGCCTGTATATGACTGTGATGATACTGCTTGATGCTCCCTTTTACACGTT